ATCTAAGATGCATGCTCTCAATATATCCTCGAGTGTCTCAATAGTGAGTTTTCCTAGACATCTGTCTGTGGGGTGAAAGGTTGTGCTGAGATTAACCTGAGTACCACAAAATGTTTGAAACGACCTCCAGAAGTTTACTTTGAACTGAGCAGCTCTGTCAGAGATTATAGAAACTAGAGTGCCATGAAATTGAACTATCTCTTTGATGTACAACTTAGCATTATCCTATGTTGTGTGAGTAGTCTTAAACAATAAGAAGTAAGCTGACTTCGTGAGTTAGTCTACAATCACCCAAATCGAATCATGCTTATGAAACAAGCGAGGAAAATCCATATTCATCATCACCCATTTTCACACTGGAATCTCTATGTTCTGTGTTAACCCGTCGGTCCTTTTGAGCTGAGCTTTGACCTGCTAACAATTCAGACACTTGGCTACATAATCTAACGTATTCTTTTCATATCATTCCACTAGTATTCCTATTAAGGTCATGATACATCTTCGTTGAACCATGATGAGTGGAGTATCGTAAACCATGTATTTCTGTCATAATCATTTATCAAAGACTTCCAAAATGAGGAATACACAGTCTATCCTAGTACCTCAAGATACCATCTCACCTAGCTCAAAAGCTATGGTTTTATGCACTGGATCCCTTTTTTTAGTTGAAGCAACAGGAGATTATCATACTACTTTTATTTCACTTAAGCTACTAAGGACTACTCCGTCATATTCTGGATGACTACACCGCCATCATCTGAGTCCATAAATCAGAATCCCACACTCACTAACCTATGAAGATATTTGGCTATTTCTCTCTTTTGTTCTTCTAAGTGTGCCAAACTACCCATGGATCATTGAGTGAGGGTGTCGCTATAACATTAGCTCTACCAGGATGATAGAAAAAATCAACATCATAATATTTAAGCAATTCAAGTCATCTTCTCTGCCTCTAGTTCACTCTCTTTACTTGAAGATATATTGAAGGCACTTGTGATCAGTGTACATATCAACATGAACTATATAGAGATAATGATTCCATATCATTAATACAAACACCACTATCGCTAATTCTAAGTCATACCGCGGGTAGTTCTTCTTGTGTTCTAAATATGCCTCGAAGAGTATGAAATTACCTTACCATGTTGCATCAAAACACAACCCAAACCAAGAATTGAAGCATCACAATAAATAGCATATCCCTCAGTACCTTCCAGCTGGTCAAAGACTAGTGGAGATGTCAATTTGTCTTTCAACTCCTGAAAACTCTTTTCACACGCATCCGATCACTGGAACATGGTCGCCTTTTGTGTTAACCGGTCAATGGGGAAGAAATAGAGGAAATATCCTCTACAAATCTTAAATAATAACGTGCTATACCCAAGAACTTTGAAGCTCAACAGGAGGTATAGGTCTAGGCCAACTCCTCACCAACCTCAATCTCTATAAATCCACTCTAATGCCATCACTACAGACCACATAGCCCAGAAATGCTATAGAGTTTGACTAGAACTCTCACTTGGAGAACTTGGCATATAACGTATGATCTTGCAGTGTCTGCAGAACTAATCTGAGGTGACCCTCATATCCTTCCACACTCCGAGAATATATCAGGATGTTATCAATAAATACAATGACAAATATGTCGAGCAAAGTCTTGAAGACCGTATTCATAAGGTCCATGAAAAATGTTGGCACGTTAGTCAAGCCGGAGGACATAACAAGGAACTTTTAGTGACCATATTGAGTTCTAAAAGATCTATTTTGTATATCATTCTCTCTAACTTTTATAGGGTGATAACCGGATCTCAAGTCTATCTTGGACAAACACTTGCACCTTGTAATTGATCAAATAGATCATTAATTCTGGGGAGAGAATACTTGTTCTTTATAGTGACCTTGTTCAGCTGGTGGTAATCTATACATATCCTCATAGAACTATTTTTCTTTCAACAAAAATGGTGCACCCCAAGTTGAGATTCTAGTTTGATGAAACATTTGTCAAGAAGATCTTTCGACTACACTTTCAATTCTTTCAATTTTACTGTGTCCATACTGTATGGAGGAACATATATTGGCTTGGTACCTGGAAGCACATCGATACCTAAATCAATCTCTCTATCTGGAGAGATACCAGGAAGTTCTTTAGGCAATATTTCAAGATATTCATTCACCACTGGCACATATTGAAGAATCGATACCTTTTCATCATCATCGATGTCCTTTACTCGGACTTGGTAATATAAAAAACCTTTAGAAATAAAATTTCCTCACCTTATGTTAGGAAATAAACCCAACCTACGTCACAATATCAACCTTCCATTCAATGGTCGGCTCGGTCAGAAAATAGAATCTCATGATCTTGGCCTGATAATCGAGCGTAGCATAACAAGATGATAGCTGATCCATACCCATAATGACATCGAAATCAATGATTTCTAACTCAATTACATTTGTTTTTATGGCACAATGACATATCATAACAGTACAACCCCGATAAGCTTGTCTAATTATAATTGACTTACTAGCCAGAGTAGATACAGAAAACGACTTACCTAACTGTTCTGGCTCTACCCCCAAATTTTCCAACAACAAATGGAGTAACATACGATAAGGTAGACCCTAGATATTAGTGCATATACATTATGAGAGGAAATATATAATATACATGTAACCACATCGGGTGATGAATATGAATCATTTCAGCCCTCAAGTGAATATATGCACTTCTGAACACCACCTAAACTAGACGATTCACCCCTACCTATTCCTTGGTTGTAGGTGCTTGAGCACCACGAGATGGGGAAGGTGTTGCTGTCCATGTAGGCCGAGCTATACCATCATTCGTCTCCTGTCAGGCTTCTGGAAAATTCCTCATAATATGGACAACCATACCACACCGATAACATGCATTAGAGCAATACTAACATAGCCCTGGATGCATTTTCCCATACTGACTACAATGAGATCAAGGTGGTTTGCCCAGACTCATGCTACCTTGAATGTGTGGATCTGGCTCCCTATAACTCTGAACCTGTACTGACTAGGATTGGATGCCTTGATCATACATGGGTATTAAAAATCAAGGCGGTGCACTAGCGGTAGAATGAATTGGAGAATGTAAAGGCCCTACTAGTCTCCTACTGGGAATGCTCCACTACTTCCATGAGCTCTTTCATAACTGCCAACTGACTTGGTTCTTTTACTCTACTCTCTTTCTCTATCAGCCTGAAGCTTCCATATACGCTTATTTATCTGTTGCACAAAGGCCATCATCCTAGAGATAACCGTTTCTTTGTTTATTGTTTCCCAACTCCAATCAAGAATCGATGAACCCTTGTTCCCATAGTAGCAACCAACTCTGGGGCATACCTGGTCAACGAAGTAAATTTAAGGCTATAATCCCTCACACTCGTATCATTCTATCTGACAGCTACAAACTTGATAGCCTTAGCCTCTATGATCTCCGTCGGCAGAAAATGATCCACGAAGGCCTTAGTAAACTCTTTCCATAATGCCAGAGGTGCATTTGACCCTCTAGAATCTTCCCATGTTGCATACCAAGTCACTACAAAATCATTCAATTGATAAGTAGCCAATTCAACAGTCTCTATCTCGGAAGCATGCATGACTCTAAGTGTCCTGTGAATTTAATTAATAAAATTATTGTCTTCATCTGGACTAGATCCTGTAAATTTTGGAGGACTCATGTGAAGAAAATGACAAACTCTTGAATCATTTGACGCTTCTGACGGACGAGCACTCAAAAAATCCTTTTTCCTACCGCTATGACTGAGCAGCTATCTACTGAGTAAGCAACTAGACGATATCCATGATATTCTGATATGTAGAACTAGGCAGTGGAATATGAGGTAAACGTATTCTCTGGGCTTTTCTGGACCTTGCGGTTATAGGATTGGGCGTGCTTGAATAGGTGGACTATCCCGAGCCTCAATTTTTCCCAAATCAGTAGGTGGTAACCCACTGGTATCTACTTCTGGAGCCATACTAGCCCTTTGGATGGCTTTCATGTTTCTTTTTGTAGGCTTATTTTGTAGAACATATAATAAGGCACGAGTTAGAATCAAGTTCTTATGATTCGGCTCTATAGCACGATCTATAATATGAAAGAAGGTTAAAACTTTCCAAAGTCCTTGTAGCCTCCCAGTTGTAAGTATGGTGTGCAACACACTCATAAGTTGTACTTTACTAGAAATGGCTTCATACACTGCCTAGAAAACAAACTTGCTCTGATACCAAGTTTGACATGTCCCATACCTTGGTAAGGCAGTCCGACTCCCCGTGCCTTAACTTGATTGAGCAAACCAACCTGTAAGAATCATAATACTCACATTGATCTAAAATAACTATGGAAGCATGATAACAATATGATTTTCTGTATAGCAACCTAGCTATTTAGAAAAGGTTATCCATAGTAGACATACTAATTAGATGGGGTGTGCATGTCTCTCAAATATTTGTACTCTGTGGTACTGACTCTATAGAATATACTTAACACATGTTTTTCTATTTGCCCTACTTGAACAACATGTGGAAGACTATCTCAAACTGGGCAGGCACAACAAAATCAATTCACAACTGGGATAAAGAGATACTCTGGCACTCCAGGAAGGTAAACAATAGCAGGCCAAGGGAAGGTATACTGGGATTTATGTTCGCATCAACATTATCTCATATCTAGGCAGAAAGAAATATGTGTAGGTTCACCAATCAGAGAATATAAATCAAGCAACGAATCAAGGAAATCATATTGCAGCTACATGTGACAAGGCAGAAGAACCACAAGTGGAGAAATAGTTAGAACAATTCAATAGCAACTTTGTATAGAGAATAATTGAAACTAGTGTTACTTAGAGAAAATAGTAGTTCAATTGTAATCGAGGAATGACTCCACAGGCGAGTCATCTTGTAGATATTGAGTTACTTGGTTAACTAAAAGATTTGCAGTTTAACAAAAAAAATGCTATTATAATAAATTATCTATATATAACAAAAGTTGAGCGTTTGAGTATAAAAGAACGAAACAACCCAACTAAAGACTAAAACAAGACATCTCTAAATATCTGAAAGTGTCAACATATACCTATGAAGCCTGTAGGATTAACTAAACCGTAGAAGTGACGTGACAAGACCTCGAACTTACCCAAAACTATTACACGCAATAACAAAAGTCTAGACTTGGCCCCAGAAGTAAGCGTGGATCACCACAGTAGCTGAATAGCACAACTGATGCCTAATTGGAGGGTCTGCCATTTTGGGCCTGTATACCTACAAGGTGAACGTAGCACCCCTAGCAAAAAGGGACGTGAGTAATGTACAATAGAACTCGTATAATAAGGCAGACAAAATAACATAAGATAAACACGATGCTCATATAAGAGAGAAAGGCATGAATTATGTTGTACTGAAGACATCTAAGAAACTAAGAGACAAACCTATAGTTTTACTATGCTTAAGTTACGATGTAACTTCTTACGGGTTATTATGATTATTCTTTGGATTGCCATGTGAAGATATTCTGGAATCGTTGTTCGTTATCATACTTGGATCTGGTTATATTCACTTATTTCCTCTATTCTATGGGAATGATATCATAGGGTGTATAGTAACACGACCATAAGGGCCTCATGCCTCACACGATATCTGTGGGCTATAAGGGTACCAAAGGGTGTACATAACATGACCACAAGAGCCTCATGCCTCACACGAGATTAATGATTTATTAGGGTGACAAAGGGTATACATAACATGACCACGAGAACATGAGAGCATAATGTACTTAACAACAATCTAAGAAAAAATTTGATCATCTTATAACTTCGGAAGTCATGCTGCACATAAGGCTCATTAGGAGAACAACCATGTGAAACAGGCTTTACTTATGTAATATTCAGCTAGACATCTCAAAAGAAGTACTACAATTAATCTGAGGAAATCTGAAAGGCTCAACAACAATCAAGAACATGATATCTATGGTACATCATCAACGATAGCAGCATAATATTTAAAAAGGGTTCGATACAATAGGACCATACTCTCTATAAGGCTCAACAATGACAGGAGCACGATAACATATGAAAGCTCATTCTCATAGAAGAATAAAATGGATATTTTAACATGATACTTACTCTAGGGCTTAACAAACTCGTAAACGAGAAACATATGATTGTGAGGTCATGTCATAGCTTAAAAGAAGGGGATTTATCCTTACATACCTCGATTCTCAATTATGAAATCAACTACGGAGAATCATCCCTTTCGTTATAATATTTAACTACAAGAATCGACGAAGAAGAAAGCTATTATTATAAACTCCACAACAACCTTCAGCTATATAAGAAATTCAACATACATTCGAAGAGCGGCAAGCTCCCTAGACAATCAATTTAATGATGTGTCTCCACACCCTTCCGTCCGCCTTAACTACAATGTCAAACAATCTTCTTATGAGATTAAAAACTCTTCACGCACTTCATATCATACAAAACAATAACATCTATCATATACAACCAACAAGATTTGGACTCACAACTTTGAATCACTGCCCTGTGAGTCCTACACATAGAATATATGCAGAATACTCATAAGAGCTCGTGGAAGAAGGTATGGGGAAAGATTTAACATACCTTCGCTTGTTGGAAATCATAGAAACATTCATTTTGAAGTTTTCGTGGGAAAATTTCTATTCGGTACCATCAACGAGTAATCGGTGTTAAAACCACTTACTTTATCTTGGGATAACCTTTCTTGATGATAAAATTAACTTACCTCCAAGTTCTAGGATGAAGGGAAATGTCGTGCGTCTACTAGGGCTATGTTCTTGGAGGAGAAAAGGAAGAAAATAAATGAAAAGTTGAGTTTGGAGTTTGTATAAGTGAACCCTTGAATGTTCCACGTGTCCCATATTCACTTGGGCACTGCACATGTCCGTAGTTAAACACTCATAACATTTTGTAACAAGATAGACTAACGAATAGTTTATTGCGTTGGAAACTAGATTTGAAGACCTTTACTTTGATAGTAATTCACCACCTAACTTATCATACACAGGTAGGTATGCTTATTTAAAATTGAAGCTTATACGAGACCATTTGAAATACTGTCATGACCCATAATCCCACCATGTCGTGATGTCACCTAACCTAACCGTCTAGGTAAGACAAACAGTATAAGTTACAAATATATTGAGAAATCATCACTATTAATAATAAAGACTGCAAAATAATTCAATACAACTATCCCAAGTACTGGTATAACAATTCATGAGCCGCTATGATTTGGATTTATAAGGCTAGTATAAGGAATAAATACAACATCTTTTTGAAGTTTAGAAAAATAGAATTGAAGTACTATCATGACCCAAACTCCCACCACAAATATCGTGATGGTACCTAGTGTTTAAGACTAGGTAAGCTTATCACATAATGATGTCAATAAAAATATAACAACTTCAAATTCACTAAAACTATGAAATACGATAATACTTCCAAACATGGATACAATAATCAAGTTCCCAAAACCCGGTATACTGAGTCATAAGCTATGGAATACATATCAAGTCTTGAAGAGTACGATAATGTTTCAAATACATAAACAATAGACATAGAGTGAAACGAGTGACTTCGAGTCCTGCAAACGGAATAGCATGGATACCTTGAATTCTCCAATAAGCACGCCTCTCTAGCGATTCGCCCGATCAGAAGTACCTGGATCTGCAAACAACTATGCAGAAACATAGTTTGAGTACACCACAGTCGGTACAGAGTAAATATCAAGACTAACCTTGGTGAAGTAGTGGCGAGGTTCAAGTCATGTAATACTCACTAGTCAAATAACATGTACAATATATCAAAAGAAAACTGATAATGGAATAGATAATGGAGACAATATCAACAACCTCTTCTGAACATGAGAAAACAACTCAAACAAGTAAGAGTTCATCTTGACAACAAGTCATCAAATAAAAACACATACATATGGCTCGTCGATCCCACATTTGTGTCACAATAATAATAGCCACCCATATCTCTCCATCCTGACAATAACAATATCACGCCTTGTCGTTTCCGCCTGAAAAACAATAATATCTCACCTTGTCGCTCCCACCTGACAAAATAATAATATCCCAACTTGTCGCTCCTCTTTAACAATATCCCTCCTTGTCACTCCCACCGGACAAAATAATAATATCCTGCATTATCGCTCCTCTTTAACAATATCCCGCCTTGTCGCTCCCGCCTGACAAAAAAATAATATCTGGTCTTGTCACTCTTGATTAATAATATTCCCATAACAACAACAACAACAACTGTAATCACAATCGCACATCTAAATCTTGTACCAACACCCAACAAATAGATTCCAAGTGATAAAGCTTTGATCTTTATCAAATATCAAAAGTCAAAAAATCAACCAAAAAGTTAACCTGGGCCTACCTCACGAGACCTGAAAAAAGTCACAAATTCCAAACACCCATTTGAATACGAGTCAAACCATACAATTTTCATCCAAATCCGAATCTGAATCAGGGTTCAAATCCCTATTTTTCATTTTAGAAAACCTTTGCCAAAATCCCTAATTTTCCTTACATAGATTCATCAATCAAATGCTAAAATTAAGGATTCAATCATGAATCATAATCAAATCCAAGTCAAGAGTACTTACCGTAATCTAAGTTGTGAAAATTCACTCAAAAATTGCCTAAATCCGAGCTCCCAATCTCAAAATATGAAAAAATGTCTCAAACCCTCGAAATAGAGTACTTAAACTATCTACCCAGTTATACACTTCGTGATCGCGGGACCCAATTCGCGATCGCGAAGGCCAAGCTCTTGCCCATCTTCTGCCCCTTCTTCGTGAATGTGGGGCACCCACTTGAACACGATGCCTACCTGTGCTAATCCTATGCGAACACTGTAGCATACACGCGAACGCGATGACCAAATGCATAACACTACCCAGCCAGCCTTCTTTAGTGCCAATGCAACTCCCTTGTCGTGAACACGAAGACCACTACCCCACCACACTCTGCGAACTCGATACCCCTATCACGAACATGAAGAGCAAAACTCACCACACACCAGAACACAGTCCATGATCGTGATACCCCATCCACGATCACGATGAACACCAGAAAACCAACAACTTCATAACAAGTGAAATGGTTTGAAATCACCCCGAACACACTTGAGGTCCCCGAGACCCCGTCCAATAGTACCAACCAATCCCAAAATATAACACGGACCTACTCTAGGCCTCAAATCACAAAAAATATTATTAAAACCACGAATTTCACCTAATTCAATCACAATGGACTAATCTAGATTTTTGAATTCCAAACTTACGTTGAACATGCCTAAACAACTCTGAATAACCCCAAATATACAACAAGTCGTAAATCACCATACAAACCTATTCCAATGCTCGGAATCCCAAATAGACAGCGAAAATCACAAAGTCAACTATGGGTCAAACCTATGAACTTCTAAAGCTTCAAATTACCAACTTTTAGCCAATTAGATCTAAATATATATAGGAACCTACGAATCAAAATTTGGACATATGCCTAAGTCAGAAATTACCATTCGAACCTAACAGAACTATTAAAATCCGATTGGATGTCAAATACACAAAAGTCAAACTTGGTCAACACTTCCAACTTAAGCTTCCAAACTAGGAACTAAGTATTTCAATTCATTCCAAAACTTCCCGAAATAAATCAACCATCCCCAAGAAACAAATACACATACGGGAAGCATTAAATATGGGAAACAAATCTCAAATACACAAAATGACCGGTCGGGCCGTTACAAGTCCTAAACTACTATGAACAAGAGGTAACATGAAATGGAATGTTGATACGTCTTCGATGCAAGGCTCTGTCTTTCACATCTACTCAGCTCTAGAATATGCACGCAAGGTGCAGAAGTGTAGTATGAGTACTACTGACCCCATGTACTCAGTAAGTGTCTTGATTAAACTTAGTGAAGTAGTGATGAGCTTTTTAAGTCAAAAGATTCTCACTTAATATAACCTGTGCAGTTCATAGGCAAGGGAAATGGCAAGGAGAAAGACAACTATTAGTGAAAAAATTGAACTAAAGAATTCATGAGCATTTTTCACAAATATAACAAACAAACGTCTCAACTAAATAGAGTCTGTGAGGAACTCATGGACCAATATAAACCATGACTGCAGACCCGTATAATAAAAAGGGTTATGTTTAAGATATCAAATTAAATGGCACGGTAACACCCTTCGTGCATTTCCACTCTTTCTCACCATTCATATGTTTAACAACAAATAAGGTAGAAGGCATATAACTAACAGTAACAATAAGATAAGAGGCATAGATGTAGCAACAACAAGCATGGTAGAAAGCATAAGTGCAATAATAACAACGCTGAAGTAAGGCATTAATGTATATGTGAGGGAACAATAACAAAATATAATGCATGTCTCTCATCCTCTCCTGCGTGGAAACACCCTTCTTGCTACAAACTCACATCTTCACTTACACGGAAACACCCTTATGCCAATATCACATTGTCAAGAAGCACAGAAACACCCTTCGATTTTCCACCAACACTCTAACAAGTCCAATGTATATGAAGATTGTGTCAACTAGCATATATAAATGATATACTTGGATAATACGCGTAGGACATGTGAAATGCATGAAAAGCATAAAGTATTCAAGTGCAAAATCAAGAATGCCACATGAATGTCTTGTAACGACCCGACCAGTCGTTTTGCTTTCTAAGTTCCCTTTCCCCTAAATACGACTCAGTTCCTTAGTTGGATTTTAGAAGGCTAAGTTTGACTTTGGTCAACATTTTTGAGTAAACGAACTCGGAACTAGGATTTGACATTTCTAGTAGGTTTTTATGATGATTTTGGACTTGGGCATATATTTGGATCGGGTTTTGAGTAAAGTTTGCTTAATTGAAGGGTAGAAGTTCCTTAAATTTGGTTTGGAGTAGGTTTTTGTGTTGTCGAGGTCCGTTTGGGGTTTTCGAGCTGGGAATAGTTTAGTATGGTGATTTAAGACTTGCATGCAAACTTTTATGTCTTTCCGAGTAGTTTAAGTATGTTTCGGCGTATTCAGAGTTAATTGGAAGAACTTGAAGTTCATAAGTTGATTCAATTTGGTTTGGGGGGTGAATCTTAGATTAGGTGTTTTTTTCCGCATTTCGAGGGTGCGAGCGAGTCCATATCTTGATTTTAAACTTGTTGGCATATTTGGACGAGGCCTAGGGTGCCTTGGATGCCATTCGGACGATACGTGGAGGTCTCTTAGCCATGGGTGAATAGCTGAAGCACCCAGCTTCTGGTGTAACAGCACCTGCGGAGGGCCAACCACATGTGCGAGCTCGGAGAAGCAAGCCAACAGCCGCAAATGCGAGCTTATGGCTGCAGAAGAGGCTTTGGGCATTTGTCCAGTGGCCCGCAGAAGCAAGGAAGGAAGTACAGAAGTGGGACCGCAGAAGCGGGATTCCGTCCGTAGAAGCGAAGCCAGCTAGCCTAAGACTTCTGCAGAATCGGATCTTAGTCCGCAGAAGCGGTGCCGCAGATGCGGCCCAGTGACCGCAGGTGTGAAATCGCTAGAGGCAGAGTGGTCCTTTTAAATCAGGACTTAGGCTATTTTGAGTTCATTTATTACACACTTGGGCGATTTGGGAGCTTTAAATAGGGGGATTTCCACCTAGCTAACCGAGGTAAGTAATTTCTATGCAATGTGAGTGCAATACATAGATCATGGGTATATTTTAACATGAGATTTTTTGAAAATTATGGGTTTAAATGAATAACCCTA